GGTTATTACTGTTTTAGGGTTAGGCAAGGTTAAGGATAATGCTAAGATTAGGGTAGGCTTATGATTAGAGGTACTGTAAGCATTGGGTAAGGGTCAATTGGTATAGCATTAGTGTGGGATTGGCATAGGGTTAGCGTTAACTATCAAAATGTATTTAAATCCTAAACATGTTAAGTATTTAACAATCAGGACTGATATATGTATCTATGTTGAGTTATTTGTAATTAATTGCACTGGGTGTGTAATAACAATAGGCAAAAATATGTGTATGTATGTGTGTGTGTGTGTGTGTATGTATGTGTGTGTATATATATATATATATATATTATATTTTTACCATTTTATTCAAACATAATGTTGTGCTCTAAAATATATATTTTATATGTATGGGGCATTTGAAGAGAAACCCTTAAATTATGGTGGAACACACCTATAGCTCAAATTCAAGGTTTCATTTTGGTTCAAAATGTGGACAATTGCCTGCATCATTAAGGGGTTAATGTTAGGAAAACAGGTTGTTGTTTTTTTTTTATCCCTAACACTGTTTTTCCTGTAAAGCTGACATAAAATTGGTGTCCTCTACTTTGGCGGTCCATTGATGAAGTGGAGGGACACTCGTGTTCTTCAGAGGTTGGGAATGAGAGATGTGTTCACAGATTGTTTTGTATCTTTTCTTTTTTTTCTTTTTTTTTTTAATTCTTTATTTTTGCATTGTGCTTGCATACATGCGTACTCTGCCACAACAGCAAGAGTCATAATTTTCAAGCGGTTCAGTTGGTGTAACATTATGGCATTTGAGGTTTGCGCACTTTTTTATTTTTAGTATAAGACAAGAGGTGGAAGGGTGTGTGTCAGCAGGAGTGGTGTGTGGGGGTAACAGTTGTAGTTTTCAAGGTTACAGGGTGCTGTATTACAGGTGTTCATGTGGTGTTGTGCCAGGATGTCACCTATTATGAATGATCAAGAGAGCTGTGTGATGGTTGTGTTCAGGTGTGTTATGTCCCCGGGCTCGTGGCGGTTCGTGGTGCCGGGTGGCCCAGCTCACTGTTGAGGTTGAGTATGATAAAGTTGCTCAGCATGTCTTATGTGAGCGGGTCTTGTGTTAAGATATCTTGGTCAGGCTGTGGGTGAACGTGCGTTCGATCTTGGTGGACTGGGCGCCCGTGTGTCTAGGGTTTCCCGGAGGATGGTGTACCCCTGACCTAAGGGGTGGCGGGGGGGAGGGAGCTTGTGGAGCTTCTGCTTCCCCGACCGTTGTGTGAAGCTGTCGGTGTGTATCGGTCATCTATGGGTTAACGTTTCCCTGCGTGCTGTCAGGGGTGTGAAGCGCAGTGACATATGTTGCACAAGGAAATAACAATATGGTAATTATACACTTAAGAGAGGAAAAAAAAAACTTTTAAGAAGAAACATTCTAAAGGAAAACCGTAAGTCTTTCGTGGCTGGAGCAGTCATTTACACCGTCCCGTCTCCAGGGACTTTGTGTGGTTTCTAAGAGTTCTTTCTAGCCGTTGTCATTCAGGTGGCCCGGTTTGTCGGTGTCATGTTTCTCGGGGTGAATGGTACAGTGTTTTCTGGGTCCCATCTCTGTGCAGGTGTCTCTGCTGTGTCGTTTCTTGCCGATAGACCCATCTTGGTGAGCACCGCAGGTACTTCTCTGGGAGTGGAAACTCTGTGCGTGGTCCCATTGTGGGTGATTAGCAGGGATCGAGGTGCACCCCAGCAGTATGGCACCCCTGCGGAGCGCAGTTGGCTTGTAAAGTGGGACAGTGTTCGGCGCCACTGAAGGGTGGCTCTTGTTAAGTCATGGAAAAATAACAGCTGTGCGTTTTCAAAGATCAAGGGGGTTTTGTCCCGTACTGCCGACATGATGTTGTTTTTGTCCTGTGTGGTGGCACAGCATAAGATAACATCCCTGGGAGTTGTGTTGGGCATAGTGTTCGAGGGTGGGAGCCTGTAGAGCCCATCAAGGAGCCTCTTCCTAGCTGTTGCAGGCAGCAGAATGGTGGCCAGAAGCCTTCTCACATAGTGAGGCAGTTCATCAGGTGTGATGTCGGGGGGTATCCCACGTATTTTAACGTGATTACGCCGAGCTCGGTCTTCGTGGGTCGACAGTTGTAGGGAGAGTCCCATTTGGGTAGTCTGCATTTGTTTTATCGCTTCTTTTACTTGTGTGATGTCTGTTTGAATGTTCACGATACTCTCCTCTGTCACCCTTACTCTTTCAGTTACTTTTTGTACTTCCCCTTTAAGCAGGCCCACATCTGTGGCCAGTGTCTCCTTGATTTCTTGCACCCAGTTATGGAGGTCCTGTTTGGTGGCCAGTGTGTTGTCGGGTGGTGCCTGTGGTGGTGTCAGGGTGTACTCACTGTTACTCTCCGTTTGTGTGGGAGTATGAGATGCAGCACGGGGCGTTGTCGGAGTTTGTTGAGCCTCCACGGCCATCCTGGATTGTGCCTGTCTCTGTAGTAGAGCCCCAATGTCAGTCTGCTCTGCTGGGTGTCCGGACTGTGCTTTTTGCGTACGTCTCCCCATATTCGTTGGGGTATCGTTGTGGGTTGGCAAGGGGTCGCTTGATAGCGTATGCTCTCCCCGGCTGTACACCCCGCCTAGGAAGTCCTCGAGCCCTGAGATGGTCGGCGAGGGATAGGCCTTGAGCCTCCGTTTCACCTTTGCAGATCTCTGTGTTTGAAAGAAAGGCATCAATGTGTGCGCTTTGTCGCCCCGATGCCGGTTTCGAGGTGGGTCTGGCGATCGGTCGGTTCCTTTGCAGGATGTTTGCGGATTTGTTTCAGGCTTGTTAGGAGCAGGCAGAGATGGCGTCCGCTCCGTTTCAGGTTCAGGCCACGCCCCAGAAATATGTTACTTTTATCTTGTATGTTTTCTTTTGATCACATTCTATGGCATTGCATTCTGTTTAAAAAGTGTGCATAACTCGAGATTGATGGTCATGTTTCATTAGAGATTATATTGGGCATTCCTTCTAGATGTAACATTATTATGGCTCCTCAGCACATCTGGAGCACAGTGAAGTATATAGTGTGTCATATACCACGGTGTAATTCACTTTTAGTTAATTTCTTGAATCTTAAAAAGTGGTTGAACATTGGGATTAGATAAATAATTTAAACAACTGCAATATGCAAAGTGCTCATTCCACCAGTGTGATAATGAGTTTTGTGTTACTACGCGATGAGTGGACACAGCCTCCATGCAATACTTCTGAACTGTGCGTGATCTTTGTAGGTTGTGTCTGTAATAAGCTGATTTTCACTGGTACTTAATATTACTCTCAATGTATGGCCAGTGATAGACTGATAATGTCAGGAGACGCTCTTACACTATCATCAACTACCAAGGCAAACAGTCTTGGAGAGAACAGCATTAAACTAATGTTTTGTGTGTAGTGGCCAGACATAGGTGAGTATATTAAATTTGCACATCTGATACAGATTAATGATAAACTCTTTTTTACACAGCCGCAGAGCTACTTATGCTATATATTATCGCCTTTGTCTTACTTACTCACACACTTATGCCAGTGTGAACAAGTGGACACTTTCAGCCTTTCTAAAGGAAACAGTCAGTCCACCAGCTCTTCAAAACCATTAAATCTTTACATAAAATAAAAAGTATGATTCAAGTAGTGCATAACAAATGTCTTTAATCTGTCCATTGGTGCTATTGAAGATATAGAATCGTGATAGGGATTTACTTGCTTTAAACTTGGGAATTTTGCTTCGAAACAGCCCAAAGCATACAATATTCTGTTCCTGCCTTCAATCCAGATTAAAGTTTAAACATCAGTTAATCTCATTTTTATACCTTGTAGAATTGTAATAGCCAAATTACCTTGCATGGCGCCTGACACAATATCTCTTTATTTGTTAAATGTTGCAATAACAGACAAGTTCACTTGGAATTTGCATGTACCTCAAAGTGCATGCTTGACATTGCAGGAATTTTCCGCATCAGTTTCAGTCAAACCACTCACAAAGAATCTGACTCTCCTGTTTGTACACACGCTGACATAACAAGGATGTTAACATGTCAAACACTCCAATTCTTTCCAGTCTCTAACTGTCCCTCAGAAGGATGAGCTCTTGTCTATTTGCAATGGATCGTTACCTCTAGAGATTATTTGTAATGAAATACCCCTTTGTTTGGGATACAAGGCATTGCCCCTATTTATAAACAATCGTAGCAAATGCAAGGCGTGAAGGAACTTGCACAGACCTTATTCCCCTGACCCTGGAAGACATTGGGAGTGAAACGGAAGCTGGCTCCATGATTCTGACTGAAATAATTAGGGTAAAGAATGCTCGAAACATCCTAAATTTCAAGGGCAGGAGTCAAAGGAACAGCTGAAGCACGGGTCATATATCTTGGAGAAAGAGTTGCAGTACTCACCCTAAGTCAACATGTCATTATTTGTAGGACTAGAACAGTAAGAAGATAAAATATAAATTTAATACAGGCATACACACACATGTAACCATGGTGCTTTTATAGGTTATTTTCATTTAGAAACCAAAATATGGGTCCATTGGAAAAACATTTTTTTATCTTTTTGGGAATGACGGCTCCATATTGAACTGAAACACTACACTTTGCAGTGCCACCTAGGTTGCGCTGTTTAGACTTTGTATTGCTAGTAGTGACTGGCTTCTGATATTTTGATAGATTTGAATGATGGGATATATTTGTGTGGTGTGTGTGAGAATGCTGGTGTGTGTGTTCCAGCTCCACTCTGGTGGAATAAACCCCTTCACTGAGATCCTTTGTGTTGTGGCTCCATTA